GAAGGAAGGAAGGAAGGAAGGAAGGAAGGAAGGAAAGAAAAATAGGGGAAAGAGAGGGAGGGAGGAAAGGAAGGTAGGATGGATGGGGAGTGATTGAGAGAAAGAAAAAAGGAAGAAGGAAGGAAGGAAGGAAGGAAGGAAGGAAAGAAGGAAGGAAGGAAAGAAGGAAACATAAAGGAAGAAAAGAAATAGGAAGGAAGGAAGGAAGGAAGGAAGGAAGGAAGGAAGGAAGGAAGGAAGGACAAGAGGGAGGGAGAGAGGGAGAGAGAAAGGAAGGAAGGAAGGAAGAAAAAAGGAAGGCAAAACAAGAGGGACGAAAGAAGGAAGGAAGGAGCATGTTTTGTATACCCAAACACCCACTAAGAAAAGGCGCCTGAGAGCTGGATAAAGCACGCAGGCAGAAAAGGCTCCTGCCCTCAGGATCTCATCGCTTTCTTCCCCCCCCCCAGGTGGATCCCGATGACGTCTTAACGAAGGAAGAGCAGATCCTGCTCCTGCTGAAAGCCAAGGCCAAGTGTGACAGACACATGCAAGCGAGGGGGACCCAGGTGCCAGGTGAGTGTGCACCTTGCTGTGTATCTCCCTGTGGGGTGCAATTTCAAAAGCTTTAGTTTTTCTGGGATTTTCACTTTCATTTTATTTTTATTTTTTTGCACAAAAAAAGATGAATGTGACCTGTGGTTTGGATGATTAGCCAGGACAGATTATAGCCATGTGGCCCAACCTTGGCTAATTGAAGGTGAGTGGACTTCAACTCCCAGAATTCTCAGCCACAGCTGTGCTGGCTGTGGAACTCTGGGAGCTGAAGTCCGTGGACCCCAAGATTGCCAACGTTGGAAAATCCTAGATGATAGAAAGGAGAAGAAGGAGGAGGGAGAGTTCTGTGGGGTCCTTGGTGGTCTCTGAGCTTGGTGGCTTTTTTTGCGGACGTTTCATGACCCTACTAGGGAATGTCATCAGTACACTATTTTCCTTCCTTCCTTTCTCTCTCCCTCTCTCCTCCCTCTTGTCCTTCCTTCCTTCCTTCCTTTCTTCCTTCCTCCCTCTTGTTTTGCCTTCCTTTTTTCCTTCCTTCCTTCCTTCCTTCCTTTCTTCCTTCCTTCCGTTCTTTCTTTCTTTTCTTCTTTCTCTCTCCATTCCTTTCTCCCTCCCTCTTGTCCTTCCTTCCTCCCTCCCTCCCTCTTGTTCTGCCTTCCTTTTTTTCCTTCCTTCCTTCCTTCCTTCCTTCCTTCCTTCCTCTCTCCCTCTCTCCCTCCCTCTTGTCCTTCCTGTCCTTCCTCCCTCCCTCTTTCCTTCCTTCCTTCCTTTCTCTCTCCCTCCCTTTTGTCCTCCCTCCCTCCCTCCTTCCCTCCCTCTTGTTCTTCCTTCCTTCCTTCCTTCTTTCCTTTCTTTCCTTCTTTCTCTCTCTCTCCATCCCTTTCTCCCTCCCTCTTGTCCTTCCGTCCTCCCTCCCTCCCTCCCTCTTGTTCTTCCTTCCTTCCTTCCTTCCTTCCTTTCTTTTTCCTTCCTTCCTTCCTTCCTTCCTCCCTCCCTCCCTCCCTCCCTCCCTCCCTTTCTTTCTTTTTTCACCTTTGGCTAATTCCAGAAAAGGATCTCCCGTTCAGAACCCCTCCGCTGGGATGGATCCTCCACTCCCTCTCTCCCTCTTTCCCCACAAACAAACCAACAAACCAAAAGCCACATTCTTAGATTTATAAGCCTTCCTTCGCCTTGTGAATCCACAGGTTTATGTGCAAAACACGTCTTTCTGGCAGCCGCCCCTCAAATAATCCCCTTCCTTCTTCCGCCTCTGAGTGGGCCGGTCAGTTTTTCAGCCTTCCATCTTCTCGTTTCTCTTCATCCATTCCTACCACTTTGCAGAATCCAGCTAGTCCTTGTTTAGTGACTGAAGGTGCAACGGCACTGAAAAAAGGGGCTTAGGACCGGTTTTCACACTTAATGACCGTTCCATCATCCCCAGGGTCATGTGATCAAAATCCAGACGCTGGGCAACTGACTCACATTTATGACGGTCGCAGCGTCCCAGGGCCACGTGATCCCCTTTTGCGACCCTCTGATAGGCCGAGTCAATGGGGGAAGCCCAGATTCACTTAACAACCGTGTGACTAATTTAACAACCGCAGCAATTCACTTAACAACTGTGGCAAAACAGTCAGTTGTTCAGTGAGCTGCGTCCCATTTTAAAACTTTAGGTAATAATAATAATAATAATAATAATAATAATAATAATAATAATAATAATAATAATAATAATAAAGTTGGAAGGGACCTTGGAGGTCATCTAGTCCAACCCCCTGCTCAGGCAGGAAACCCTATACCATTTCGGACAAATGGCTGTCCAGTCTCTTCTTAAAAACCTTCCAGTGTTGGAGCATTCACCGCTTCTGGAGGCAGGTTGTTCCACTGGTTAATTGTTCTGACTGTCAGGAAGTTTCTCCTTAGTTCTAGGTTGCTTCTCTCCTTGATTATTTTCCATCCCGTTGCTTCTTGTCCTGTAAATCACTGCGGTTGTTAAGTTAGACACCTGGGTTGTTAAGTGAATTGGGCTTCCCCCATTTGACTTTGCTTGTCAGAAAGTCACAAAAAGGGGAATCACGTGACCCCGGGACACTGCAACTGACATGAATACAAGTCAGTTTCCAAGCAACTGCAGCCGAATCGGTCCTAAGCCCTTTCGTTCAGTGCGGTTGCAACTTCAAACGGTCACTAAATGAACTGTTGTAAGTCGAGGACTACCCACGATGACGCAGCCACCAGAGGAATCTTGTCAGCCACATCAGTTGGTGATCCGGCATGGCGTTGTCCGTTGTTGTGTTGGCCACATGTTCCTTCCCCCCCCTTCCTCCTCTCCCCCCCCTGCCCCCCCAGCAAAGAGGTTGATGCTTTTAGTTTTATTTTCTTTGCTATTTTGGGAACTTCTTAATTGGTGCCAGATGAGTCGAGTGGAGAAAGAGCGAGAGGCAGGGCCGGATTAGAGAGTGTGCAGAGCGTGCGAGCGGGTGGGGGATGCGTGTGCGAGACACCCCTTGGTCCTGCTGGATTCTGCTGCAGCTGTTCTTGCTTCGAACAATAGAACATATTTTAAGCAAGAATTTCCCCCTTTAATGCCTCTTGGAAGTTTGGGGTTTCTGTCTTGCTAGAAAAACATCCCTGAAAAAACAAACATGGTTGGTTCAAACCACGTGAAATTTTGCTTTTCGGCTGATTTTCCCACGCTCTGAATCCCCCCCCCCAATCTGAAGAAACCCCTTGGGGATTTCTCCTTAGATCATTTTATTGGCCTGCAAGCTTCAGATGCAAGGGGTTCTTTTTTCTAGCTCTTTCTACTCTACAATACAACGCAGTGCAATGCAATACAACACAACACAACACAGTACAATACAACACAATACAACACTATTCAATACAACACTATTCAATACAATACATAAAGTAGAATGCAACACAATAAAATATAGTTAATATAATATAATACAATATAATACAGTACAATACAGTATAATTAATACAGTACAATATAATACAACACAATATTGGATAGAATAGAATAGAATAGAATAGAATAGAATAGAATAGAATAGAATAGAATACATAATAGAGAACTGAATAGAATAGAATAGAATAGAATAGAATAGAATAGAATAGAATAGAATAGAATAGAATAGAATAGAATAGAATAGAAAATATGGAATGGAATAAATAGAATAGAATAGAATAGAATAGAATAGAATAGAATAGAATAGAATAGAATAGAACAGAACATAGGATAGGATAGGATAGGATAGGATAGGATAGGATAGGATAGGATAGGATAGGATAGGATAGGATAGGATAGGATAGAATAGGATAGGATAGGATAGGACAACACAATACAATACAATGCTTGAGTGGGGGGGCTGGACTAGAAGACCTTCAAGTTCCCTTCCAGCTCTGTTCTCTTCTATAAATTTAAAGAAGACATCAGAAGTCTACTTTTATGATGGCTAAATGTATGTTATCGGCCTATCTTTCTCTAGCATATCATGGTTTGTTTAGAATGCACCGCCCTGCCAAATTTGCAGAAAAATGTCTTGCAAGGAAGGTCTGTGCGGGTGTGGGTTGCGGGTTAAAAAAGTTAGGATGGGGTCCATGCCACTTAAAGCCCGTCCATTTTAAATAAATATCACTGAGGTAATGAAGATAAAAAGGAAGCAAGATTGGGTTGTGCAATCAAGGATGCCATCTTGACTTTTTTGACCTCTGTGTGTATATACATACACACACACACACACACAAAGCTATCTGCTCTGCGTTTCGCTCCAGTCTAGGAGCATTTTTTGCAGGCAGACATCACTACTGTGATAACTGTAAATTCAAAATTTTGTGGCTGACAAAGAGTTAAAGGGAGACTAGTATAGCTATTTCAAGCTCTTTAGCTCTCATCAGCTAGAGGGGTAAGATTAGCTGATGAGAGCTTTAATTCTTTGTCAGCCACAAAATTTTGAATACACACACACACACATACAGACATACAAGCAGTCCTCAACTTACAACAGTTCATTTAGTGACCATTTGAAGTTAGAACGGCACTGAAAATAGGGATTTGTTATCATTTTTCACACTTATGACTATTGCAGCATCCCTATGATCAAAATTTGGATAACTGACTCATATTTATGACGGTGTCCTAGGGTCTCTTTTGCGACCTTGGGACCAGCAAAGTCAATGGAGGAAGCTGGATTCACTTAACAACCGTGATACTAACATATCAGCTGCAATGATTCACTTCACAACTGTGGCAAGGAAGGTCGTAAAATGGGGCAAAACTCACTTAAGAGCTGTCTTGCTTAGCAACAGAAATTTTGGGCTCAATTGTGGCCGTAAGTCAAGGACTGTCTGTATTATATCGAGTATGCTTGGCTGTATCCTTGACATACAAGCATTCAAAGTTATAATAGCATTGGAAAAAGAGACTTATGGCCAGTTCTCACACTTATGACCGTCAGAGCGTGAAGGGATCAAAATTCGACAGCTGACGTGTTTTGATGCTAGTTACAGCACTCCAGGATCCCGTGATCCCCATTTGCAGACTTAACAACTGCAGTGATTTGCTTAATAATGGTGGCAGAAAAGGACGTAAAATTGAACGCCACTCACTTTACAACTGCCTCGCTTAGCGACGGAAATTCTGCTTTCCACTGTGGTCGTAAGTCGAGGACTCCCCGTGCAAAAGACAAAAGGAGATTTTTATTTCTCCAATCGTAATTCATGGGCGGGGCTTCCTTGAAATCTTCCAAGGGCGGGAGATGTGCGTCCTCGCGTTCCGATTGGGCCATCACGGGAGGACCGAGGCTGCCGATTGGTCGCTGGTCCTCTCTGTGTTTTGATTGCAAGCAAAGAAAAGTCAGAGAAAGTTTTTGCCCAACGAAAGGTTTTTCTGAGAAAAATCTGGCCATGAGCGGGCGCAGTCACGCCTGCTTGGTCTGGAATTAATTAGAGTGAACTAACGAGATGCTGGGAATGAAGTCAGAATTAATTAGGAGGAAATAAAGACACTGCGCAAGAATGCGACAGAA